AAAAAAAAAAAAAAAAGCGAGCATAAGCATCCTTCTATCTCTGACCAAGGCATTATTCGAGCGCATTGCTCGAAGATATCGAATTTTATGCGATAAGTATTTGCTAATAGGGGACATGTAACAAATGGCACAAAGAAAAAAAAAAAAAAAAAAAAAAAAAAGCAAATGGCACAAAAAAAAAAAAAAAAAAAAAAAAAAAAAAGAAGTATTCCTTTCTCAATAACAGTACCTCCCCAGCGCCGTTCCTCAGCTTTTTCCCCCGTTTTGAAAATTTTTTTTTTTGTTCAGTTTGACAAAAAATTTTATTGAACCAAATATGCATGCGGAGGGATGAAGCAAACCGGAACACACTTCCCTATTTGGCCTTTTCCTTTTACAAAATTTTCAGAGGCACAACTGATATGTTTGGCCAAAAGAGATGTGCTCATATGTGTACATGCACATGGTACAGCGTGTGGTTCGCTTTTTTAAGTACACACACAGTAGTGTGAAGTTTGAGTAATGTTGAAAGGTTTACCTTTGCATGTATCTTCGTCAATACCACCAACACCATCCGATTGGTTCTCCCCCCCCCCGCATTATTGCATGTTTGGTGCGATAACAAATGTACGCCAGTTTATTCCTCCAGGATTGTTTTATAAACAGGAGGAATAGAGGCAAAGCCAAAATAATAATTGTAACAAAAAAACAAAAGGAAACGAGTTAAATTTCCAGAAAGAGCGCAGCTGAATGTTATCCCAAGGGGGAAGGAAAGGAAAAGGTGGCAATTTTTTTTTTTTTTTTCCATTTTTTCTCATATGCACTAATTAACGGTAACAATTTTATATAATAAATACGTAGCAATTTGCGTTTTATTCGACGTTTATTTTATTTTTTTACTGTCCTATGCTTGCACTGTTTTTAGCTTAAAGCGTAAATATAAAGCGTGCATGCCTAGTTTTCCGCAGCAGCTTAAACGTATACGCACATATTTACGTATATATATAATGTGCAGTGTGCGATGGGAAAAAAATCAACAGCTGGTGGTATGCGGGACTGAAAAATTGGAACATGCGCTTCGTTCAGTTGGCCAAGTGTACAAACGTAGCTGCAAGCTTGGCTGATGGAATGTGCTAATAAAGAAAAAAAAAAAAAAAAAAAGCGAGCATAAGCATCCTTCTATCTCTGACCAAGGCATTATTCGAGCGCATTGCTCGAAGATATCGAATTTTATGCGATAAGTATTTGCTAATAGGGGACATGTAA